TCAGGCGGGATGGGGTGAGGAGGGCAGGCCCCTAGAGGAGGACTACGGGAGGCCCCACGCCAGAACAGACGGGCCAAACCCCTGTTGTCAGACCCGGAGACCCCACGCAGGGGTGATGGGATATGGCACCTCCTTGCTTTTGTTTCGGGGCTCCCAGGGAGGTGAGTAACTTGTTCTGACAGGGTGGCATCAGGTCAACACAGTCAACCCCATCTGGTCGACAGACACAGTGGTCCCAGAATCTGCCAAGAGTCAAAGTGAGCACCCTGAGGGAGGATTGAAGGCACCCCCAGCCCAGACACAGACCGGCCCCCACAGATATCCGCCCCTGCTCTGTTGAGAGCCTGAAATGCCTGTGCAGGGCTGTCAGGCTGAGGTCCCCTCTCTCATATCTGGATCACTGGTCTCTGGGAGGTGGAGGCCATCGTCTGAGCAGGCTGCACTCAGGTCAGCAGCACAGGCAGGATCCAATGCCCTGCCAGGAGTCAGGGTCAGGACTGAGGGGACCCTACTCACCCAACACACAAGACCCAACCCTGCCCTGCCCCTCCTGTCGGCCTGGGAAAGACACAGGGAACAGTGCGTGGGTGGCCTCCCCTCACTTCCTCTTCTGGTGTCTGGTGGAGACAGGGCCTTGGTTTAAGGAGGTGGCCTCAGGTCCACCCTCCCTCCCAGGCCTTGCCAGGCATCAAGGTGAGGACCGAGCATGCTCCTCCCCCAGGATACATTGACCCCACTCAATGTTACTGTCCCCTCTGGGAGGCCCTGGGCAGATGGGGCTGGATTTTTTGCCCTCATACTGCCTTCTGCTCTGTATCAAGAATGTGAGCTTTTGTTCTAAGAGTTTCTTTTGACTACAGAGGGGTCTGGTCTAGGGCCCTACAGGTGACAGCTGAGGGGCTTGAGTGAGTAGAGACCATCCACCTGAGGAGAGAGGGAACCCCACAGCGCCCAGCCGCACCCACCCACTGTCAGCCTAGAGACTTGCCCTCTGCTGGCCTGCTGATTCATCCTTCAGGTGTTAGAGGGACAGGCCCACCACGAGGACTGGGCCCTGGGAGGCCCGAGAGCATCACCTAAAGAGAAAGCCTGCAGGTTGATCTTTGTTAGATCCTCCAGGCTGTGGTTCTCACTGATGCCACTTACACAGTCCCTTTCTCCCCAGGCCTATGGGTCCCCATTACCCAGCTCCTGTGCACATTCCTGCTTGCTTCCCCCCCAGAGCCATCATGCCTCGCCGCCACCGCCACCATCACAGGAGTCAGCACCGCAGGGTTCAGGGAGGCCTTAGGCCCAAAGAGAGGCACAGCGCCTGGTGGGTGCACAGTCTCCCGGGGCTGAGGAGGAGGGGGCGGCTGCCTCCTCCTCTACTGTGACCCCGGGCACCCTGGAGTAAGTGCCAGCTGCTGCCACACCAAGTCCTCCCAGAAGTTCTCAGAGAGTCTCCTCCTCCTCCCCCACTAGCCTGCCTTCTAATCCAGGGCGACACTCCAATCAAGGCTCTAGCAACCAAGAAGAGGAGGAGCCAAGCAGCTCCCAGGACCCGGCAGACCCGGTGTCCATGCAACGAGAGGCAGTAGAAGAGAAGATATCTGATTTGATTCATTTCCTGCTCCTCAGGTATCCAGTCAAGGAGCTGATCACCAAGGAAGAAATGCTGGATATTGTCATCAAGGATTACCAAGATCACTTCGCTGAGATCTTCAGAGAAGCCTCCGACTGCATGCAGCTGGTCTTTGACATCGACGTGAAGGAGGTTGACCCTGCAGGCCAGTCCTACATCCTCGTCACCTCCGTGGGCCTCACCTACTATCAGGAGGTGAATGATGACAAGCACTTTCTCAAGGTTGGCCTCCTGATAATCATCCTGTGCTTGATCTTATTTAGGCAGATTGTGCCCAGGAGGAGGTCATCTGGGGAGTGCTGGGTGTGATGGGGGTGCATCCTGGGATGGAGCATGTAATGTTCAGAGAACCCCAGAGGAAACTCTTCACCCAGGATTAGGTGCACAAAGGCTACCTGGAGTACCCACATGTGCCCGACAGCGATCCTGCGTGTTATTGAGTTCCTGTGGGGTGCGAGGGCTCATGCTGAAACCAGCAAGATGAAAGTACTGGAGAATGTGGCCAAGGTCAATGGGTGTGATCCCAGATCCTTCCCACTCCTTATGAAGAGGCTTTGGGAGATGAGGAAGACGGGTTGTGAGCAGGAGTTGCAGCCAGGACTGATGGGGGTAGGGCCATTGCACATCTAGGTCCCCTTCCAGTGGCTCCACCTGCCCCATGAGAAATGAGTCATTCTTTACTCTGTGTTTGAAGAGATCAGTTAGTGCTTTAAGCTAGTGGAGGGCCCAAGAAGTTTGGGGAAACCACAAGTGCATGACATTTTTTGCTCCTGTTACATTTTGATGACTTAGAAATTAATCTTTGTTTTACTTTTGGAATTTTACAAATTTTATTCTGTTTCATAGATTTAATTAGCTTCAGCATCTAAGTTGGTGAATGATATTGACCACACATGTAATTTTGCTATATCAAAATTAATAGTTTGCTATTTTGTAAAACAAATGGGGAAACCTTCCATTTCGTTTTATTGCTTGGAACAAGGTGGAATTGGAATTTCATTGCAATAGGAATTTTCTTGGAAATGTGAAAGAACGTTGCATTTAAGGAGTTATGAAATAGAGAAAGGCAATCTAAAGACAGTTATTTCTTGGCATCTTATTCCTTTTCACATTATTTTCTATGAAATTAAAATGTATGTGTGTTTATGAATTTGCTTGGCTTATTTGATAATGTAGGGGAAATTTAATCTCAATATTAATCTCTCCCTGCTCACTGTCACATTTGTTCTCCAGATATTCATTGAGTATCTGTTCTTTGGAAGGCCCCGGGTTCATGGAGACACTAGGGTAAGCCAGACCCGCCCCTGCCCATAGAATGAGAGAGTCTAGGAGCTGCAGTCATATAATTAAGGTGGTGAGATGCCCTCTACGTCCTAAAGAACAAGTGACGAAAGGGTGCTCTGAGCCGGGGCGGTTTGGGGCTTTGGGAAACTGCAGTTCCTTCTGTGGGAGTTGGTTTTAATGAAGCTGGGTGGTGGCAGGGCTGGACTCTCAGACCATGTGACTCGTGACTTAGGGTTTAGAGCAAAGCCTGGAATGAGAACTGCCCTGAGCAATTCCTTCTGCATGGTGAGTGAAGCAGAGAGGAATCTCCCCGTGGGGCAGGTGTGGAAGGTGTCCCGTGCTCTTGTCCCACTGTGGCTGAGCACAGTGCAAGAACCAGGTGGTTGATAATCACCCTCTGCAGAGATTTCCTGAGAGATAAAGGTGAGTCTCCCATTAAGTGAGGCCAGTAAGGGCACTGGACAGGTATTTATCTGCCTGGCTGGGAGAACCGGAGCTGACCCTGTTAAAATGATGTTTTAATTAGTTTATCTCAAGTGTAATTTGGCCAATTGTAAGCAAAACCCTAGATTTTTGATGGTGAAGAAATGAATTAAAATAGTGGTTGGCTTGGAAAAGCAGCTGGGAAGGAGGGAAGGTG